TACTCACTGTATGTTAAACAATTAGAGCATCATTATTGAATAAGATTTGATAATAAATCCATAATTCTGTTTAAGAATCTGTTTGGTTTCCTTGAAAACTAGTAAAGGTTGTGTGTTGTGGGAATTGCAGGACTACAGTCATGATACACTCCTCCAGCCTCTGTCATATGGCCAGGTTAGACTTAATATTATTGACAACAGAACTCCTAAGGTGCTGTAATATTAGAGAAAACCTGACAAATGGGACACTTCGCAATCAAGTTTCTTTACTCACCTTTGGAGACTTCGTCTTTTTCTTGTCTTTTACAAAATCTTCATCCCCATCTGATTCAGATGCTTGACGGAATTGCAATGTTCCACTATTGATGTAAAAGCCACCCAGTTTGGTAGTTAAGGAAGCTGGAACAAGTTCATCATACTAGAACACCGCAAAGGAAGGAGGATATTAGGAGGGAACACAACTGATGAGGTGCATTACTGATAAGTGTCTGAATGATTAGTTCCATGGAGAAAAAATCTTTAGTGTTTTGACTAGACAGGCCAAAAAGATTACATATTAAACATTATTTCTTGTCACTAATATTACGTGTTGCACAGTGAGGTATGCAGTATGCCATAATCTGCAGTATTAATGAAATCACACACCTTGACAAATCAAACTTAAGTTCATGGAAATGGAATTCCAACTGCTCTGTAGTAAACAAAATACTTCAAGCCAATTGTTACAGATATCACTGACTGGGAAATTTTTGGTTGGCTGTCTTATTCATTTATACGATTTACTTTGCTGTAGAATTTTGACTTCTTTTAAACTGTTAGTTTAAAATATTTTCATAGGTCTCTCTGCAAGTAGTGGTCATTTTGCTCCTGATATATGCACTGTAATGGAAATCCTTCCCTTGTATTGTGAACAGATGACAGCAAGAGTCTGTGACATAGGGAAATTTTGTTTTATAGGAAAGCACAAAAATAATTTCCATTTTATAATACACTTGTAATACCAAAATGGTTGTCAAAATAAACAAACTCGCATTTTGGGTAGGACTGGAGTTTCTAAAATATTCTAATATGCTCCCCACTTTCTTATTTCAGTAATGGAAAAAAATTTTCTTCCTGGCAGGAAAATTTGGATCTTTAATTCCTGCCAAAAAGAGAGATCAGTTTTAATTTTACAAGTAGATATGCACATTTTAAACTGAGTGTAATGTCAAGTAACAATGATTTTGAAATTTAGCACCAAGTAGCCATTGCTCTATGCCTTGCAATTAATTTGTAAACCATTCAGATTGGTACGCAAAGACAGAAAGATAGCAAGTGCTGTTGTTTTAAGCAATGCTAGCATTTCATGTGGAGAATTAGCTCAGTATTGGCTTTTCAAATTCTGCCACAGTAGATAATAGATTAAATACCACTTCAGTTAATTTTTGAAATAAACTAGCTGAAAGGCTAATCAGTTCAAATGTAAACATTGTCCCTGATTTGTTCAATGACTGACAGCTTTTGGTGAGTTTAACAGATAGGCATTTAATTTATGATTAATTATTGTGAATAGGTTTGTCAGCCCATTTTTTTTCAAATCTGAGACTGAGACTGAGACTATCTGGCCCTTGAGCTAAATGGAAATAAAGAATCATGTTTTCTACTAATATGAGGACAGAGTCAATAATAACAAATCATTTCAAAAATTGTTATGCTCCAATTTGCCATTTACTTATCTTGGCACTTAAATTCATACTTGAATGAAATATTAAATGCAGAGTGTGCCAGAATCACTCAGCAAGTTAGCAACCATGCAGAAAAACATTACAGGTGAGTTTTATTTGCTTCACTTGAAGAACAAGAGGATTCAATCAAAGCAGAGTTAATAGCATCTTAAGTGGCAAGATTTTAAACTTAGCTGATACATAATGAAACTCTGATGGGCAATTAACCAGATCATTAAAAATAGATGGTCTCAAAAGTGTGCAGCAACATAAAAAAAGGGGGCATTGGAATTGTTCTTTACTTGTTGGGATGCATTGCAAAAGCAATGCAATATTATATTTGGAATTTTGTGCTATCCTCCATTAGGGAGGTTTAAAAAAAAAAGTGTCCAACAGAAAAGCAGGAGGACAGATACTCAGAAATGTTCAAGGTTGAACAGTCACAATTTTGAAGAGAGACTGAAGAAATTAGAAACCAACTTTCTAGAACTGTTAAAGTTAAAGGGTGAACTGGTAGAGGTTTCCTAGATCATGAATGGTCATGTTAAGGTTAAAGTCTTTTATACTGTCATATTAATATGGTCACACCGAGGAACAGAAACAATGAATCATAAATTTCAAAATGAGAATTAAAAGAAAGTTTTGAAGAAATTTTTACATAAAAGATTATTACAATGTGGAATTCTCTGCCAAAACTAAATTAGAAACAGAGGATTATTACAGTATGGATACTGAGTAAGAGATAGGAGTTAACTAAGTGGCTTATAGGAAAGAAAGCAGTGGCAAGGATTGCATTAGCTAAAAGGACAATATCACAATGTTCTCATGGTTTTGTACACTTTCAATCCCTACTTAGCCAGGACATTTAAGAGCTACCATGGGAACCATTTATGACTGAATGATATTTTTGAAGACTTTGTTCATTTTTTTCCTCCCCCTGACATTGCCCCAATCTCTACAAATGTTACTTTTTTTAAACTGGCTTCTTGAGCTACCCTCAAGCCTCCTAGCCAGAAGCCAGCATTTTGATCCCTCTACATTTTTGCCCAATAACACAATAGCTTTCCCTGGTGCCAATATTCATCTTCAACTTCAGACTCAGAGATAACTTATTTACTGGTTTTTCCACTCTAGAATCTATCTCACTCCAAATATCTCTTGCTTTAACAAGGACATTGGCTGTAGGCCCAAGTAGAACTAACACCCTTGATCCATTGGTGCTATTCAGTTGAGGTTACGAGCTGAGGTCTGTTAATTACAAGATCTAAAAACTCTGTCCCTTCAGTGATATAGTATGTTACAGGTACATAGCAATACTTACTAACCAAGAGTTTGTTTTTTTAAAATGCACATCAAACATCTGTGCAAGAGATCACGTAAACATACCAACTAAGTAGCAATTAATTACATGTACCTAGAACGTAACAGAATTTGGAGAAAGATAGATGATGCATACCTATCAAAAAGGATGAGCTTCTTAGTGTTTACCTCATTCTTAGATGTCAGACAATTCTGAAGTCAAATCGTAATTGTACCCTTACACTAGTCTTATATAAAAAAATTCCTATTGAAGTTTTGAAAACTATGCTCACTACACACAACAATTTCCAAGGAGGTGGAAACATTTCTTTTTCCCCAACAAAAAGCAGCCAGTGCAACATGCTGAATGTTATCAAGGCATTACAGTCTTTCAGCTGTAGAAATATTTCTACAATTCAAGTTCTCATGACGGAGACATCTTGGTCCGGAATACGACTGTCAACTAAATACTTATAGTATTAATATCAAAAAAGCAGCTGCTGAACAATTTTCCGTCACAGTAAAAGCTGCCGGTTAGGATAATTAAAATGTTAGTGCTATTTTTCAAGAGTTGTAAACTCAAGATGGTGGCAGTGGGACGGTAGATAGTGTTTGGGCGGAGTCTGTCCGCTCCAGGTTGGCCGCATTCTCTCTCTCTCCTTTTTGTCTTTGTTCTTTTTCGTTTTCTTTTCTTCATTTCCCTCTGGGGAGGCTGCAGCAGTGCTGGCAGTGACCCCTGGCTTGTATGCCCAACGCATGAACTCCTGGAATGGGGATAGGGTGTCAGCTGCAACAATGGCAGAGCAGGGACTTCTGGCTCCATAGACCTGATGCATGGACCCCTGGAATGGCGGTGGAGCATCAGCTGCAGCAATGGCAGAATGGGGACCTCTGGCTGTACTAGGCACGCAGTGTCGAATCTTTTCGGTGGCGGCAAGTCATTGACCGCAGCGGTGTTGATGCCAGGAGCAGGGGTTCCTAGTTCCAGTAGGCCCAAAGAGGGGACCTTGCAGAAATGCTGCAGTAGTGTTTGGGACCCCGGCAGTGAAGATAAACTCTATTTAAGTACTTTTTTTTGTACCTCAAATGACACAGAATTGTGGCGACACAACATTTTTCACTGTATCTCCCTCGACATGTGACAATAAATCATGCATTGCTTATTTTGTTACCTCAGAAGTTTCTTCTATTTGAACAGAGTTAGGTGAAATGAATTGGAAAGAAGAACAAAATCTAGATGCAGAGTGTATGGATAAGAAATTTTAAATTGCAGGTGAGTGAAGCTTGCCTTAAAAATGTCTTTTGTTGTACCCAGAGTACTTTAATGAGGTGTGAACTAGGAGTGAACAGTTATTCCTATCCAAAATAAAGTACTTAAGACATTATTTGTGAACACTGAGAATGATGTTAATGAAAATTGTTAATGGTTTTTGGTTTTGGCTCATTAAAAACATCTGATTAAAATGGGCACTTGTTTAAGTGCAGATTGTACTTGGAAACGCAACGTAGACAAACAGAATACCACATCTAAGCTTTCCTTGCAATGTGCAGCTAAGAATAAACGGTTATTCCTGTCCAAAATAAGTTAAGCATTTAAGACTTTATTTGGGACCAATAGTGGCATTCCATCCAACAAATTTAATACATAAAGTAATCTTCAACCTCACCTAGGTAACCAATATTATCCATTTTTCCCCCATGTGCAACATTAAGGCAACTAGATTCAGCAACCTAAATGGTCTTGAGCTGTTTCTATAATCGTGCGAAATTATTTTCCCTCATGTCATTGGACACATTATTCACTGAAAAAGCCCAGTTAGTTTCAGTGCTAGAATGTTAAAATTTCTGATCCAGACATGCAGACACAGAAAGTACCTGATGGCAACAAAGACTGAAAAACCTTTCCCAAACTCATTGAAATATATTGAGCAGCAATCAAATGTTATTACACATAAAATTCCTATGAGAACATCACATTAGTATTTAGATTCTGAACAAGAACTGGATGGTCTGGAACATGTCATTTAAGTTTTAACAGAGCAATAGAAAGGATGATAGATATTATGTACAGGATTCTCGTTTATTGCTAAATAGAAAAAGGGTTAAAATTGCATTTGTTGCCCAGGAAAACAAAAGAAGGCAGAAGAAAGTAAAAGAAAGAACTTGCATTCATCCAAAGCTTCTGAATTGCTTAGGACATCTTGAAACACTTCACAGCAAATGAAGTGACATTGAAGAGTTATCACAGTTGCTTAAAAACAGTGCTTATTAATTCAATTTACTTACAGCCTCTGAGTTATCTATAAATGGATCAGTTTCATCATATCCATAACCCATGTCGATCAGATCTTGGATACGATCTTTCCTTCGCTTCTTTGGGCCCTAAAATGTAAAAGCTATACATGAACAGATATCGTTAATTGTACACATGCTACTTATTCAATTGATCTCCTTTTTCAGTTCCATGCAGCTAAAGCAAGTCATCTTCTTCAACGATTCTCTGCTGCATCAACTTCAATCTCTTCATTCACAAGATGAAGTGAGTCTTGGGCTTAACTGTACCAATAACAATTGAGTCGGAAAGTACTGAGTTTGAATCACATTATAGTCTCAGTATGTGAAGACTAGAGGCTCTGACACGGAATTACGGACCAATGTCTAGCAGGAAATTTGTGTTCATTGAGTGTTGTCACCAGCCTTAACTCATGTTGAAAATTAGGGCAAGATTGGCGTGACACAGTGGCTCAGTAGTTAGCACTGCTGCCTCACAGCACCAAGGACCCAGGTTCAATTCTGCCCTTGGGTGATAGTCTGCATGGAGTTTGTGCATTCTCCCAGTGTATGCATGGATTTCCTCCGGGTACTGTTTTCCTCCCACAGTCCAAAGATGTGCAGGCCAGGTGGATTAGCCATGGCAGATGCAGGGTTACAGGGTGGGTCTGGGTGAGATGCTCTCTGAAGGGTTGGTGTGGGCTTGATGGGCAGAATGGCCTGCTCCCACATTGTAGGGATTGTATATGCCATAAACAATTCCTGCTGTATAAGACTAACTGCCATGTTGTCTGGTACAATAGTTTGTGACTCCTTTCTCAACTACATAATACTCTCCAAGCAATGAATTAACATACGAAAACGATTTAAGAGAGGAGTAACAATCAGAAAGGTCCTGCAAATTGACATTTAAATCTGGAAATTGAACTACCTCCAGCAATGCATGCCTGAATACCGATTTCTGTTCTTATTAAAATTCAACCATGGTCATGTAACTTTTATTTGGAAGTTGTACTGTAATATGAAACATTACTTCTTTAACAATAAATAATGATGTGAGACTTGCTTAGCTGTTTTGCTTGGATGATTAAAGAGAAAATGTGTTTTTGTGTCACCAAATACACTGTCACACTTGCAGTGCATGACAACTAGAGGTCACTGGCCCAAATTTGTATTTCAAGTATTCATGTGTATAAATACAGAACTCTGTGGGAGGGTAACACAATGGACAGGTGGTGCATGTTCCAAAAAGAGTTGCTGTACTTTTGGTGCAGTCATGTGGCACTTGATGATGTCAGAGCAGAGCAGGTCGATTGATAAATATATTGTAACGTTCAAGAAATATTTGCTTTATTCGCATTAACCAAAATCCTCAAGAAATCAATGTGGCAATGATTAAATAATTGTATCAACTATATTGCAGGTAGGAGCGAAGGCAGGTTAGTAGGCTGTTGACAGGAAATATGCGTGTGCCCACTGTGTGGTATTGAAGGTTTCATAGCAGTTTCAAAAAATAATCCATTTCAAATGAACCATAAATATTCAAATTGTGTCTTATTAATCCATCTCAGTCGTGTGCTCCAATCGTTAAATTTACCAATCTACACAGCTTCAAATGTGTCACTTGTGGAGAAGATACCTATAGACTAACTTATAATCTGATGAACTTGAACTTTTGATCTTAAATAGGAGACTCTGCTTCACTAAGATGCCTATTGGAGTGAACAGATTCTGAGACCAAATCCATCTGATGATTAAATTTTCAGATAATATGGCCAATATTAAAAACTTTTCAACAGGTTTACTTATGCAGCATTGCTGAATTAATCATTGTTACTTTTTAAATAGTTTGTGAAAGCTTAGAGCAATCAAAATTCAAATAGTCCCGGTGGAAGTCAGCTTACAAAATAGTAGGACAGCAACAAAACTTTCTGCATTAAGTCATTATCTGTTTGATACTGTAGTTATTAATGCTGTAAGCTTTCTTAATGAAGAAAAACTAAGCAGGACTCACGTATTTCTCTTCAAACTTTTTAGCCAAAGCCTCAATTTCTTCTTCCCTTTTGTCATCATTAAAAGGAGCATCAAAATGTTTAGCTGCATCTTTCTAATAAAAAAAACATTAGCATCATATAATGTTTAGAACACAGGTATTTCTGGCTAATCTATCATTTATTGCCCATCCCAAATTGCACAGAAGGCAGTTAAGAGTTAACCACATTGTGAGACTCCATACCCACAGCATCGGCCAAACCAGGCAAGGATGGACACAAGTGAACTACATGGTTTACAACAACCAACACAGGTTGCGTGGCCACTACTGGGCCAGCTTATTATTGAATTCAAATTTAACCATCTACCATGGTGGGATTCAAACCCATACTTCCAGAACCTGAGGCTCTGGATTATTATTGTTAGTCTAGTGACATCACCGCACCTCAGATTCATCTGCCTGGGAGATGTGTTGAGGTTGGGAACCTCACAACCTTTAAAAAGTATTTGGATGAAAACTTGAAATATCATGTTATTCAAGGCCAAGGGCCTAATGAGGGAGAACGGACTAGTGAAATTAGTTGTATTTTTTGGCAGTATAGACTTGACGGGCTGAAGGGCTTCTTCTGTACTGTATGAGTCTATGAACACAAAAAGAATAATTGGGAAGAGCTTTGCGATTTCGGCTCCTCTCAGACTCCCACAGCCTTCACCTTATTCATCACTGAAGAGGATACCTAATACTGGCTTAGGACCTGTATGTGGTCATTGTATATAACAGTGAGGTTCAACAACATAATTGTGTTATGCACACTAGCTGACTGCATAAACTCTCTCTAAAGACTGAAGCACTTTATACATTAGCGCATTGTGTACATGTCCTGATCCACACATGAGGTGCTTTAAATTTCAAGCAATACGGGGCACGAAAAGTTTTTAAACCGGGATAATCAGATTGCTAACCACACTGTCTACCTATCCAGGATGCTACATATATGACAGTAGATTGCACCCAAGCTGATGGGAACTGATTATATTGGTCCTTCCTGTCACACAGAAAATGAAACACTGGGCAGAATGTTCCCATTTGTATTTTGTCAAGAGACACACATGGTTTGCAATGGCTTGGAGCAACTTTTTTTTCCACAACCTTCCACTCTTCACCTCATTAATTATGTAACTGGGCTCCTGGGTGAACCTTGCCAAAGAGGCAAAAACAGTTGGTACTGTTGTGACTCATCCACATTCATGCCTCTGTTGCCATCATTAAAGCCTAACTTCACACCACTTCAAATGCTGCAATCCAGGAATGTGACTGTGGCCTGAGCTTCAACATTCAGAACATGAAAGGAAAACTCACTCCCTCTTCGCAAACATGTATCTGGAGGTTTTGGTGTATTGGGAAACACCATTTCTAGCTGAACTCAAGAGGAGGCCATGCCACTGGACCAAGCCAACCTGGACACAAACTGTAGCCTTGGATCAGTGCTGGTGTCCCAAGTGAAAACGAATGCCTATTAGTGCAAGAAGGTGGTCAATGATCTACTGAGTTTGCAAGGCTAAGTGTTAAAATCTTCTCTCTGCTAACTTTCACTCTCAGGAACACCACTCACACCAACTCTGCCACCTTACTAATCACTGAAGAGGATACCTAATACTGGCTTAGAACCTGTACATGGTCATTGGTCATGCATCTCATCAAGGCTGATGGATGACAGCTCTCCGTATTGCATGTCCACTCACAGTTCTCATCCACCTCACCATCAACAATGAATCTTTCCTGACTACCATGCTTTCTTTGCACTCAATGGGGACATCTCAATCCCTGTCCTGTTCATGCATCACCACCAACTGCTCTTTTATTCACTTCTACCACAGTCAAGTCCTCATTTTGACTCACTGCAGGAAAAGTGGCCTATCCCACAGACAGAGTCTCCACAGCACACAATTTGTGCTACAAGACTAAGAAACAGGAACAGGATTAGGCCATTCAGATCCACAAGCCTACTCCATCATTCAACAGGCTCATGGTTGATCCAACAATTCCTCTCATCCATATTCTTGCCTTTTCCTCCTAACTCTCGATTTCCCTACTGATCAAGAATTTCTATCTCAGCCTTAAATATACACAAGGACTCTGCCCCCACTGATCTGTGGCAAGGAGTTCCAAAGTTACGTCATGTCTCACCGTCAGTATACCTCGAGAGACATGCTCAGAATATCTTCACTGCACAGGCAATCCCTGGTTTATGAACGGATTCTGGTCTGGAGTCCATATGCAAGTCAGAACACAATGCAAGACAATATAAAATAGCAGCTCATAAGTTCAGGAAGTGTTCATAAATCAGATCTTTAAAATTATACCCCAGTATGAATCACATTGTTAAGTACAAGCATTCTGAAGACAGATGTTTGTAAATTGGAGACCTCCATATCATCGGATGCAAGACCATTGAACATTCAGGGTGACAGTTAAATTCTCCCATGTTTGAGATGGTCATTATCTGACATGTGATGCAAATGCTACTTGCCTTGGCAAAGCATGGTGCCATAGTGACTTTTCACTCCCTGTCTCATTGATAGATTGCCTGCTCAATACTCCTCACCATCACAAGCTGCCAATCTCTCCATCTGCACAATAAGGTAACACAAATCACAGCGGCTGGCAATTGGAGACACAGGAATATGGACCACTCAGCCCATCAAGCCACAGCTCTTAAAAACTCTGTGCCCAGAAAGCAATGCAAACCATAAAGAAGCTGACAGCCCATAATTCAGTGCTACAATCAGCAAGAATACACTAAGGATGCAATGTGGAGCTCACAGACGCTAGCATCCTTCAAATAAGTGGTAAAGGGAGGGAGCACTAAGAAAGCAAAGACCACAAGATGCATCAGGTTTTGATGAATGGGATGCATGAATGACATTAACTCAAAGTGACCTTCTACAAATATGTAAGTTATAGGAACAAAAACAAAGTTGCTGGAAAAGCTCAGCAGGTCTGGCAACATCTGCGAAGGAGTTAACGTTTCGGGTCCGGTGACCCTTCCTCAGAACTAAATGTAAGTAACTGTAAGTTATAGGTGTTATCAAGCTCCAAAGTAAAGCTCTGAAGGGCTTGAAGTGGTGTTTGATTTGACCTGAGAGCAGGCATGAAGATGTTGTGAAGCTGATAGTTTGTTAACATCAACTTGTGTGGATGAAGGGTTGAGGCGAATGATCGCGCTGGAGCACGCAGGAACAAGTACCCTCTCTGATGTACGTGTTAAGAATATGCACCTTCTACAGGAGAATTAGAAGTAATATATGAATAAGGGGGTTAAGCTAAGATGCAAACGTACGGAAACGATATAGTTGCCACTCAACTTCAGGGGAAAAAAAATTGGATCAATACTGAGAAAATGATTTGCGCCATTTCTGCCAGATTTTCCCACCATTCTTGCTATTGTTCATGCCACACCAGGAAGAGGAAAATTTCACTCATTTCAGTTGACAAACCACTCAATTGTAGGTTTCCACCGGCCATGGAAGGAGCATGGAAGTTAATCTATTTAGTTTAACGTTCACACTTTCACTCCATGGTTATGCATTTTACTTTAGAAGCCTGGCATTAGAAAACTTAGTTGAACACAATGCATCCAGAGCAAATCAAGACAGTCTAGATGACTAGCAGCTGATGTCCAATATATTTTCACCAATCATCAAGAATCACAAGCTCCAAGACCCACTGACTTTCAATCTCATCAAATAATTCTGCAGAGGAGTATGCAAAATAAACATAATCAAACATGTGATGATTTTCCATCAGTCAGCACTACTCTTACTTTTGTGCTGAGGATAGTAGTTTCTAACAGCAGTATAGCACAGCCTGCAATGTTTATCAATTTACAATTAATTTGAAAACATACAACTGAATAGCTTTGTTAAAGAAAATGGACTTGGTGTATCAAATGTAGTAAGGCAATACTCGGCTAAAAAGTTATCAGCTGTCTGTTCAAAATGATTTTCATTGCATTCAATAACTTCCTTCCAGAATTAGAGAACCAGTTATAGCCCTCTTACTATAGGAGGGTGTGGTGCTAATGTCACTGGATGAGCAATTCAGAACCCCAGGCCAATGGACAGGGATTCAAATCTCGCTGTGGTAGTTGGTGAAATCTGAATTCAATAAAAATCAGGACTAAAGAGCTGTTAATTGTTGCAAAGACCCACCTGATTCACTGATATCTTTTAGGGAAGGAAATCTACAACCAGCAATGTTATAGAGTCACACAGTCATAGCAGCCTTCTGGGCAATTATGGATGGGCAATAAACGTTGGCCTAGCCAGTGATGCCCATATCATGAATAAATGAAAAAATTAAGGAAAATAACCATTCTCTGCCTGGCAGTGTGAGGAAAGTTTCTATCTATTCTCGTCGTTGAGACACACTGGCCAATGAAATTTAGATAAAATCCTTTCTTACAATGATCATTAAGAAATAAGTTGCATTCAAAAATACATACACTACAAATGAAAATTCTGCCATATTACAAGCTGAAGGAGGAAGTACTTTGTTCTTCGTAATTTGCTATAAACCCACACAAGCTGGGAATGTACTATAGCAACATTAAACCAGTATCCAAAAATAAAAGTGTTCAGAAACCACATGAAACACTGCTTACATATTCCAGGATGGCATCTCAACTGCCAAGAGCCAGTGAGACCAGAAGATATGCATTGTACACATTTGCCAGTTCATTACTTACCAAAGAAACCACCACCCACACCAGGACTACTTCCAAAATGTCTTTTAAGGCTTAACATTAAAATCGGAAGACGAGTTCAACAGTTTGCTGCAAAAGTAACTGTCTTGATATAGAACAAAAACAGAAATTGCTAGAGAAACTCAGCAGGTCTGGCAGCATCGGTGGCAAGAAAGCAGAGTTAACATTTCGAGTCCAGTGACCCTCTATCACAATTGTCCGTCTTTGTTTTATTTTTATGACTTGATAGATACCTCTGCGTGAAAAGCAACTGCAAAGGTGTTTTTAACAATGTATTAGAGTCAAGTGTGCTACTGCTAACAGTTGAGATCAAACAAACAAGGAACAAGAGTAGGCCACTCAGCACTTT